CGCGTGAGGAGAACTCGCGCGGAGAGCGGGCGGTGCGCGCCAGGCGCGCGTCTGCGAGGGGACAGGTGGGTCCCACGGCCTGCGATGCGGCAGTGATCGACACGTGTCGGCTGGGTTGGCTCGCGGCTTCTTGGCTCGGCTCGCGGCTCTCGGCTCGGCTGGATGATGGAGTGATGGGCTTTGGGCCGAATTGGGCTTTTCTTGGGCTTAACTTTTGGGTTTTCCTTGGTAAACTAGCCCAAATCCAATTGTTTTCTTCAAAAACATGAAAAATAAAATAAATCCAATTAAAATTAAATCCTCTAAATTTAGAAATATTTGAAATTAAAATCACAAATTTGATAAAATAATTTGACAATTATGAACATTAAGAGTGCAAATTCGTGCACTTATCACTGAGTATATCCTTTAGCTACGAGGCGAGCTTTGTATCGCTCAATCTTCCATTTGGCTTGAAACTTTACCTTGTATACCCACCTACATCCAACCGAATGTTTCCCTGGTGGAAGAGCAGTAATGGACCAAGTCTTATTGCTTTCCAAAGCTTCCAGTTCAGCAGCCATAGCATCACGCCACTCTGGACTAGCGACTGCCTGAGTGAAGGATTTAGGTTCAGGGTGGGTGGAAATGGTGAGGACAAGGGCTCGGTAAGGGGAAGACAAGTGATCATATGACAAAACAGATGAAAGGGGATACTTGGAAGGATGAGGAGGTGTGGTGTGGTGACTTGCTAAATAGCAGTGATAGTCAGAAAGGTATGAAGGAGGCTTTATTACTCTGACTGGTCGTGGGGAGGAGATGTAATGGTCGAAGAGGGGTTGGCAGAGTGGATATCAATAATCGGCCGAGGTAATACCTGATCATCGAAGATTGTGGGAGGTGAGGACAAATGATTTGAGTGAACAAAAGGAAATATTCGTTCATGAAAAACAACATTCCTAGAGACAAAAATTGTTTGTGTCTGGAGATCAAGTAACTTGTACCCCTTATATCCAAGAGGATATCCAATGAAGATTGAGGCACGAGCCCTAGGATCAAATTTGGTACGTTGAACAGGTAATGTGGAGGCATAACATAGACATCCAAAACTGCGAAGATGACCATAGGAGGGCTTTTTGTGATGCAGCAACTCATACGGGGTTTTGTTGGACAATAAGGGAGAAGGAACACGGTTTATCAAGTAAACGGCTGTTAAGACACAATGACCCCAGTAACACAATGGTACGTTGGATTGAAACAATAAGGCTCTAGCAACATTCAAAATATGTTGGTGTTTTCTTTCTACGACTTAATTTTGCTCGGGTGTTTCAACACATGAATGAAAAGACAAGATACCATTAGACTTAAAAAATTCTGTAAAAGCAAGTTCTGGGGCATTATCAGAACATACAGACTTGATATTAACTTGGTATTGGGTTTGGATTAGTTTATAAAACTCAACAAACACAGATGACACCTCTGATTTTAACTTAAGTAAAAAAACCCAAGTAGTGCGAGTACAATCGTCAACAATGGTAAGAAAATACCGGTAACCTTCTATTGTTTCAATGTGGAATGGACCCCAAATGTCTATTTGAATTAAATCAAATGGAGCATCAGACAAAGAACTGTGAGAAGGAAATGGTAATTTTCTTTGTTTAGATAAATGGCATATAGAACAGTGTTGCCCAGAAACATGAGACTGCAATTTTAACTCATCAGCCAAACCATTAAGTTTATTAAAAGATGGGTGTCCCAGACGAGAATGCCATAAAACAGATTTCGACATTACAGATGAAACTAATGAACCAGAATTAGCAACAGATTTACAATTAAGAACACCTAATTCTAGACAATAGAGATTCCCACAACGCCTACCCTTCCCAATCGTCAATCCCTGAGAAAGGTCCTGAATAAGACACGAAGAAGACAGAAAATTAATAGAAAAATTGTGAGATTTTGTTATAGCACTAATGGAGAAAAGATTAAAATGAAATTGGGGAACATGCAGGACATTGGCAAAAGTTAGAGTGGGAGAAATAATCATAGTTCCTATATGGGTAACAGGAACAGAGGATCCATGAGGAAGGGAAACATGAGCGTTGGAAACAGAATAATAGGAGAGAAATAAAGAGAGATTGCAGCATACATGGTGGGTAGCACCGGTGTCAACAATCCACGATGTGGAATTAAAAGAAGAAGTAAGGGAAAAAGGATATCTACCGATGAAATTGGAGACTGAAGGTCCAGGCAGCTGTTCCTCGGTGGAAGTGACAGATGGCTTGCGGAGATGAAGTTGGGAGCTGAGGAGAGCAATGAGTTGTTGGCATTGTTCAGTGAACTGCGAGGAACCAGGTGTCGCCGTCGGTGGGGCTGGAGAGAAAGGAGACTCATAGGTCTGAAGGGATGTCTGGTTCGCGCGGAGGCCAGATGCATTGGATTGAAGGTAGCTTTGGGCTTGCTGGACCCTATTCGGCTGCTGGGCCCGAATTGGCTTAGACCTATAACCTGGTGGGAAACCATGCAGCCGGAAACATTTTTCCACCGTATGTCCTTGCAGCCCACAATGTGTGCAGAGGAGGCGTTCACGCCTGGGCCTGGTGTGAGATCCAACCACAGCGGTAGAGGGTGTCGGTGAAGCAACGTTGAACGCCATGGATTCCGATGGTTGAGATGCAACCACAGCTCCAATAGTTTGTTGCCTCTCTTCCTGAACTACCAGGTTAAAAATCTTTGCAACAGAAGGTAATGGATCTAGCATTAAAATTTGACCACGCATTCCAGAGTAAGAATCGTTCAAGCCCATTAAGAACTGCATAACGCATTCTTGCTTTTGATAATCCATCCATGATTTCATTCCACCACAAGAACGTACTGGAATAGGTTGATAATTTTTCAATTCGTCCCAGAGAATTTTAAGTCGAGTATAATATGTGTTAACATCAAGCGAACCTTGAGACAAGCCATGAAGCTGTTGCTTAATCTGAAAAATTCGTGGAGCATTACTCTGATGAAATCGATCATGTAGATCTGTCCATACGGCTCGAGCGGTGTCGAGATACAGCAAGCTGTCTGCAATCTCTTTCGAAACAGAGTTCAAAACCCAGGAAGTGACCATGCTGTTACATCGTGACCAGATTCCTGCATTAGGGTTCCCAGATTGGGGCTGTGAAATCGATCCATCCACAAAACCGAGTTTGTTCTTGGCGTTGAGAGCCATCAGCATCGCATGACTCCAGGTGTTATAATTGGAGCCAGTAAGAAGATGCGAAACAAGAATCATGCCGGGATGATCACCGTTGTGCAGGAAGAAGGGGCTGCTGGGATTCTCCATTGGACTTGACTCTTGAGCTACTGTGCTCTCAAGAGAGCCGGTACTTATGGGTTGAAAACGATTATTGTTATTGTTTTGACCTCCACGGGCCATATTGACAGAAGGAAAAAATCAGAAAACAGAGGAAGAAAATCGCTCTGATACCATATTAGGAAATGAAGAGGAAAGGAATGAAAATGCTCAACTCATTTCATTGATTGAAAAAGGAATCTCTGGTTCAATACATATAGCAAAACTGTAACAAACTCACAACGGAAATAAAGAAAGAAAGACAGCTCAGCAAAAGCTGTTGTAACCAAATTAACAAAAAGATAAAAGCTTAACAGATTCTCTAGTAGCACATATTTTGATAATACAGAAGGAGACGAGAAGAGGAGGCCCTTTTTTGGGTTTTTGGACTTTTGAATTTTACTCTTCTCCTCTCTCTTTCACAGTCGGAAAAAATAATTTATGCCATTTTATATTGTTCTTCTTTTATTTTCATTCTTCGTTGAAGGAAGTTGTTTGTAATGGAAAGTTGTTGGGTTGTCTTGGTTTCTTTGGTCTGAAATTGATTGCTTTATGTTTATTGGGGAGTTTGGCGTAGGAGACTAAGAGTATGAGGCTGCCATTGATGAAAATGAAGATAATTTTTTCATTATTTATTTTTTTTTTTTCAAGAAGTGAAAACTTACGCCACATACCACCTTTTATTTCAGTTTTCATAAACAAATCAAAATATACAAAAGTCCAAACTAAACAACAATGACAATTGACAATAAACCTAAGACATAAGTAAAACAAGACACTTTATAAAATGCATTAATCAACCCACACAACGCAAGCACTCGCTACAAATTTTTATTTCAAACTGTAAAAACACTAGAGTTGTAGACATTATCTTAACGGTAAATCGTACAAAGTTCAAATCAAGCCACCAAAAAAAAAAAACCAACGTACTGTAAAAAAACTTTGAACATGACAAGCTCAGTAATTAGGAGGCAACCATTGTAATTCAATGCCATAATTCCACTTATCAACAGGATCAGAAGGCTGCACGTCCACCACAGAAGTATAAGCAGTACACCCTCCATACCTGAGTCTTATAAAATGTGAATTCATGCTTGAATCCTTCAAGTAATGGCAACAAAGTGTACCTCTACACCCACTTCCCTCCTCCATCTGATCCTCGAATTGCCGGCAAAGGCTGCTCGACGAGCAATTCAGCGGCGAGCAGAGAAGGTTGTCGGAGCAATTCAGCAGCATGACAGTGTTGTGGGAGGATATGTTAAAGGGTGATCTGTCATCAAGCCTCAAGCCTTGAAGTGGGAAATCAGAAGAGTAACACGATGTGGTTTCTTGCAATGTTGGTGGGTTTATTATGAGCTTGTTGGTGCTTGTATTAATGCTGAGGATTTTGTAGTGGAATCCTTCAGCTGAGGGAAACTCAAGGGTGTTGGTGGTATTGTTGCAATAGATTTTGTATCTGGGGTCCCCACAGTTTCCATCAGTGCTAAAGGGGTAAGGAACTTCAACACTGCCACATTTTGGGCAAGCATTGATCAAGGCTGACACATTGGAAACAAAAATGATCAGCATACTAAACATCAAAGCAACCATCTTCACTCCTGTGTCCATAGTGAATATTGAGAACACTACAAAGAAGCAAGGAATTCCCTTGTGCTGGGTGTCTATTTATAGCAAAATTATTAGCTACTCTTCAAGTCAAACCATCAATAGTTAAATAGTAGAGAAAATTAGGTAGTACGCCACTAAAATCTAATAGCTTTACATTTATATCTAGTCTCTCGTTATTTTTATTAATTTTAATATCTATTAGAATACTCTCTGAAAACTTGAGTCGAAAATATGCGTTCAACTTTGTAAAGAAGAAAAAAATAATCTGACAAGATACTTTTTAATATCCCATCAAAATATTTTCTAATGAATTGAGTAGTAAAAATGTTAAATTTATATCATAAATTAAATCTAAAGATTACATTTTTTAAGCGGCATTTTTCTAAGTTACATATAGAGATTATGAGTACTATTATTAGTCTTTGGACTATCAATATTATATCATTTTGGTTTCTAAACTTTTTTTAGTCGGTATTTTGGTTCAAAATTGTTAAAAGAAAAAAAAAAGAGAGTTTGGCGAGTAATTTCTAGAAAGAAAAATTCATGTACGAAAGTAACACTTGGTTTAATTAATAGTACTAATTACTTTTGATCGCCGGACAGCTGTCAATTGATTGACTTCATAGGAAAGGTCAAGAAGAGAAGACATCCAACATCATTTGCCCTAATTATATAAAGAATAAAAAGCATTGCCCACTTTGTATGACACCCATGAATCTTGAAGCTAATTAGCTAGATTAAGAAAATTTGTTTCAAAATGCCCCAATTATAGTACTATTCTATTAGATTTGCCTCCACCTGAATCCAAAGTATAGAGACCGAGTCATAGACTAAATCCGAATACAGACATTTATATCAGATATGAAAACAAAACCGAAAGTGTGGTCCACATGATAAATAATCTATCTAGTTTCTCAGCACTGACATTATTATTACTATATACTAAAAGAGAGACGGGATTCACTGTTCATTGTACAGTAAATGAACAGTGAATTCCCGGCTTTGTCCCTACTTCCTGATGTTTAACTTTTTTAATACCCATTGTGTCCTGTTATGTTCTCTTACGTCTTTACCCTTGATTTTTTCTCATTGTCCGGCTTAATTCGAGGCGCATTTTTGTCTTTGACTTTAACTTTTTAATACCCATTGTGTCCGTTATGTTATTTTACGTCTTTACCCTTAATTTTTTCTCATTGTATGGCTTAATTCGAGGGGCGTTTTTGTCTTTGACTTTTTATTGTTGATTTTTTCTGCCTACTCTCTCTCCCTTGGTCTCTGTGTCTTCTGGAGTATTCTGCCGTTTCCTTCTCTCTCTTTCATTGGTTTCTCTTGTTCTGTGCTTCTTCTCTTCCATTTCTTTTGCTCCCCAATTGCTTCTCCCTTGATTTGGTTATTGTGGCTGGTTCTTTGATTCCATTTGGCCACAAGTGAATCTCTATGGTTTATGTGATATTTGTTGTAGGTTCTTTGATTTCTTTCTTGCGGGATTTTTGCCTGATTTTTGGATGTTTTTTGCTTCGTTTTGCTGCAGGTTTTTTAAAAATTTTTCTTGCATGTTTCTTTGTTGGTCTGATTTCCTTATTTAGCTTGGTTGCCCCTTTATTTTTTTGTCGAGTCCATGTTCTGCTCCTTTCTGCTTTTTTCTCTTTTTTGCCTTTTTGGCCTTTTCGTTTCATCTTGGCGTATGTGCTGCTCATTCTTTTAAGCTGGCTCTGTTTGATTTCTGTTTTGTTCGCTCATATTCACTGTGTAAGACAATATTCATAGCGTTACAAGTACTTTCACTAACTCTTGCCCATATCTTCTTCATATATGTTATTAATATTATATATATTATGTATTGCTTTGTGTTGTTTACTATAGTATTCAAAAAAATTTCTTTCTGTTTTTATGATTATCCTTTTGCTATGTCTTATTTATATTTTCTATTTATTTATTTAATTATCACATATGCATATATTTGTACCCATTTTTGCTTAACATATTTAACCTTTACTTGGTTTTGTATAGGGCAATGATACTTACAATTAAATTTCATCTCGACTTCTCTGTAATCGATCCAAAAATTATTGACAAGAAACCCCTTACTCAGATTTAGCAAAATTATTTAAAATGTTTTTCCTTTTTTTCCTTTTCTTCTTCTTCTTCTATAGTATGTGGCAATGATAATGATCAGTTTTGGCCTGTTCAATTTCGTCTAATGTGTTCAAAAATTGCTATGAACAAATATATCTTATTTGAATTTCAATTTTTTCTTTTCTTTTGACTAAAATAGTTTAAATGTTTCTGTTTTTCTTTTTCTTTTTCTTTTGTTCTCCTTTTTTTTTCCCTCCCGAAAATTTAAGAGTGCAGTAATTCAAATGTCCATTTTCACTTGATTTAAATTTTATCTATTTCTATTTATTAAATTCTTTCATATTATTTCTCTTATCATTTTACAAATTTGATTTCCAATACAACAACAGTATCACCTCCCCTGTTTTGGTATTCATTATTTCTTCCAATAAACAACTCTTTATTATTGGACTTTTGCTATTTTTGTTTTAACTATTTAAGCCAAAGTCTATTCTCGTACCTGATCGATATATTATGTTGTCTATTGATTTTACTAATTGTTATTAATTTTGATATATTGTTATTTAGTGCATACAGATTACTGTGGGCATATTTAGTCCCTGCTGACGTTTGAGTACTTGCTGTTTCATTTTTAAAACAAGGTTTGTAGCGTTCCAGGTATTATATATAGCCTTTGCCTATAACAGTTTAGTATCCATTCTTGATTCTTAATATAATGATTTTTTGTCATGATATTAAC